AGTTATAAAGGATGCTTGAACATTGTATGAATAACTGATCAACTGTTTTCTTTTCAAAAACTAAAAATAACTAGTTTCAGCTCTATGCTCAACTAGCTGATATAACTAGGTTTATACTGAAATCCACAGTAGTTGGGTGAGTAGAATATAATTGCATGGTTAGTAATAAATAGTTAAAAAGTACTTAAACTCTAAACATTGAAAATGAATAATAATTTTGGTTGACAAACATACAGATATTCAAATTTTAGGTCTCTAAAAGGTAAGAAATGTAAAATAATGTATATGTATAGAACTGATATGGATCTGGTTTGAAAACGGAAAGTTCGCTGCGTATAAGATGAACGCGGAGTCGTGTGGAACAACGGAAACAGACAAATTGAGGCACATTCATCGAGGAGGCAATTACGGTACAAATAGAGACGATTTGAGCCAGCCTTCCCCTCACACAACATTGAAGATTGTACGATGTGTAGCGCTGTATAAAATATGTACCTGTTTCATGGAAGCTGAGATTGTTTGATCGCACATCCATATGAAATATTCGTCTTGTATGCCAAAAATAACAAATGTAGTTTTGTTTATAATGGGTACTAACTTATAACTAACTGTACTAAATAAACACTTTCAGGAAGCAACTTAGGAAATTAATTGAAACAAAGGTTGAGCAATTTAGCTATTTAAAATTAATTCCTTACAATATCTTACTGTAAACACTACAGGAATAATATGAATGTGTATTGTTGAATACTGTTTGATTAAGGATACATACTGCTCAGTTTATTTTGAAACCTACAAGTTGTTATTCCTAAATATGTTTCCCTGGAAGTAGTCAATTTGCGTATGAGAATTTGTAATTGATATCAGTCATGTATTCACTTGTCAGTATATATTTTTCGAAACCGTTTTTTTGTTAAAGCCGTAAATTCGACAAGATATGTTTGTAAAACTAACGAATTTAAGAAAGCATAACTTCATTTAATATTAAACCAGTTATAAAGTATTACACACAACTGCAAAAGATAAAGTCAGATAGAGGAAGTGCAGTAATTTAATTGTTAGTATTTCTGATAATTTAAAACCTGTATTACTATTAGAAAAGTAGCAAGCAAAGTTTTCACAATTTTGTATCCTACTCAAATCATCTAACGTAACTTAGGTCGGTGACCTAATGTGCTAACGCGCCTTTCTGTTATCTTAATGTGCTCACCCTTGTAAATGATGACGTAGTTTCCGTGTAGATTTTTCTTTTAACATTTTCAACGCGACACCATAAATATTTAAGTAAAGTCACAGACAAGATTACTAATACAAATGTATTTAGGATGTTTGTTGGACGTACAATTTTTTAAAGTTGTATTCTACTTTTTAACGTTCATTACGACTGACATATCTGCAAAACTAATTATACATTCAGCTTACATGTTGCATACATATTTAAAAATAGTAATACAAAGTTTATAATAAATTCAACTATGAAGTTTATAACATTACTTGAAAATTAATAGTTTTTGAGTCATAGCCAATTGTTACTTTAGTAAAATGTCAAAAGTGAATTAATGGAAAAAAAGTTTTTGCCATATCGTTGCAGTTAGAAATTGAAATAGGTTGTTTACAGATATACATTTATTCTGAATAATCCTAATGTGTGAGGAAAATTAATGCGTTTAGCTAGGCTACATAAATTTTGATATCAACAGAAAAAAGTAGGTATACGTTTAATTGGTTCTTTGTAAATTAAATATTCTTATTACAGTTTCAGTTCAATAATTTTTAGGATAAATCCTGTCTATTAATTCTTAATCAGGCATTCTTAATTTACAATGGTGTTTCAGCACACGCTGCAACTAAATATTATTAAAATATGGAGATAGCGATTCTATAGTATTTGTTGTGCCCACAGGCAAGTGATTAAATGATGTTTGTAAGTGAGCAAATGATGGTTTATTTGGACTTAGCGATTAGAAAACTAAAATATATAGAGGCTTAACTTAGACCTAACCTCGTTAATAACGTAGGTCATAACGTAAAGACTACGCTGTCAAGTAATTTGCTAATAAAGGCAATATAGTTCACATTGTGCTGTAAAGATTGGGTGTTATCAATATCAATATTTAAGCTGTGCCAATAAATTAGAAAAAAATCTACTAAAAACAATAACAAACTTTGACACTTAATAAAACCCTATCAACAAAATACTCTAACAACCAAATTAAATATGTTCGGTTTATGTCAACAAACGGTGAGTGGAGACGTAACTATGGCGCCACAACACGGTAGGTCAGTAGCCGAGCTGTCAAGGTCACTGTAAGGTCATCAAATACTATCTTAACTACCCCAGCTGTGAGACATCACCTGTTATAGTCACTCTGCGCGCTACCTTGCCGCGGTCATGTTACTTCATCTCTTACTACTGCATTCCTTGAGCGGGACTACAGGTAAACTTGAGTGTATTCGGTTGTTTAGTGTCATAATTTATTTTTATTGCATTTCATTATTGTTTAACCTAGATAGATCGTCGTTGTCTAAAAACTTGATTGTACGGTTAATATTTGAAATATGTGAACATTAAAATATTCTTCCTGTAAAACAAACTAATCATGTTAATGTTATCCACGCAATAAAAATTATAAACATTTTAGAGTTTTTACTATGGCGTTCTAATGAATTTGAGGAGCCAGATGTTATTATAAACATCGTCACGAGGATACAATTTGAAATAACTGTGTAATTTTATGATGCAAAACGAAATTAGTATCATAACGTAACAGTATTCAGAAAAATTAAATAAAATCACTTTGTATTACAATATATTATGATTTTCAACCATTTAAACGTTGTGTTCCACAAATAACCTTATAGTGTACGTGTACGTAGGAGGGAATACATTAGTCGTATAACCAGGTTCCATTGTATATATGGATAACCGTGGATTTACTGAATTCATGAGTTAAATCTGGTCCAGTGAATGATTTATATAGATTTATTAACCACTTTCTTATATAATACTGAGATTGTATTATAAAAATTTTGGTTTCTCGGCTCAATCATAGTCATTAAATTTCTTTATTATTACTGTAAAAATATTCATCTATTTTTATATAGGTACTTGACTTTTATTTAGGGCTGTTAATTTGTTTATTTAGTTAAACCTTCTTAAATTGAAAGTGTAATGTGGTTAAAGTTATTTTCTAACTCTTCTTTTATGAATTAGTACAAGAATTGGTACTTTTAAAACCCAACATTGCTCTGTTTTTAGAGAGAATTATTATTTGACACTTTAAAAACCCGGAAACTATGCCAAATTTCAGCTACCTGATAATCAAAACCAGCAAACGATAATTATTGTATAATGATTAAATACGTGCTCCTGAATATGGTTCCCTTCGGAATTGGAATAGATTCTTAGACATCCATTTCCACTACTGATCCATATCCAGGGGGCGACAGGACATAATATGCCTATATTATAGGGTTATAAGTAGGGTATTCAGTGTTCAGTATATCAGTGATGGTTAAACTCGTTAATTATTTTGAAATTTTTTTTATTACTAACACTAGTCTTTATGTAGATTTACGGTCATTGAAGAACAACCGTGTCAAAATCAGTTAAACAATTTTTTCACCAACTTTATGGTCTCAATTTAGAGTGTCATCTTCAGGGTAACTTCCGCTTAGTTGACATATCAAATTACGCCACCTAAAGGAGATCGAGCCACTCTTAATATGGTACTCTGTTTCGAGGCCATACCATTTTTTAATTCATAAGATTGTCCTGTAAAGACCACATATATACAGTATGTTACAGTATAGGGTTGATAAACTTAATTATAACAGGTTTCGTACCTTGACGTCCACAATTCCTTAGTCGGTATCCGTTGACTAGTTTCGACTACTACGTAGTCATTATCAAAAACGGAACGTTAAAATATTACATTTATTGAATGTCGTCAAATCTTAAATACATCGATCACACAAACCGTACCATATTGTACAATATTTCAATAAATTGCAAGTCGAGAGTAGCAAAACATGTAATGGCAAGGCAAGGATGGCTTCAGCCAATCAGATTTAATCTTTGGTAGAATGTTCTGGAAGCTGATCTTCCGCGTATATGAGCCCGGTTACCACGTGTCTCGGTCTTAGTTCGTTCTTGTTTCATCTGCAATTAAGTAAAATCTTTCAGTTGTGCCTTTTTATGTAGTGTGTTTGGTTAAACCCCAATTGGGTGAGTAAATTTATTTTTATTAATTAGAACCAAATTAATCTTGCCTTGCCAACCAGTACGATTTTTTAAAATAATTAAAACCTTTCGTTAAAAATTGTAAAACGTTAAAGAACTTGCTCAAAAATAAAAGTTTAATTCTGATTAATTATGTATAGTCAATAAATTTGTCTTTAAAAGAATTTCTAAAAAGAAACTATCAAATTAAATATCTAGAGAATATTAAATCAATTGTTTGTTTTCAGGGTTTTATTCTTGTACTTCTATTTTGGTACCAATTTATGTATTCTGAAAATGAGCATTTAATAAACCGAAGTATTATTGTATTTGAATTAAGAAGTTTTTATTTGATGAATCCTGAAGAAGAGTATTTTATTTTATTTTATCAATGTAAATTTAAGTTGTACTGCAAAGTGGGTACAAGCGGTACAAAACAAACATAACACGAACACGGTAGACATTTAACATAATTGGCAGGCCGGCACACGTCACTGAACTGGTCGACGACGATGACTATTTACCCCACTCCATTCCATTTATCAGCTGTGCCTCCAGGACTTATGTTGCCAACATAATTGTTAAATGTTAAATGTAATATTTTAACGTTCCATTTTTGATAATGACTACGTAGTAGTCGAAACTAGTCAACGGATACCACCTAAGGAATTGTGGACGTCAAGGTACGTAACCTGTTATAATTGATTACCAATTCCGGAAAGCTTTAACATGAATAAACTAAACTTAACTCAGACTTGTAACACTGTACTTGTTTCAGTTGGAGACGGCGGGCCTAGAGGAGAGAGCTCGCCTCACCCCGTCCATGTGTATCAGGGAGACGACGCCCTAGTCACCTGCGTGGTCAGGGACATTGGCAACAACAGCGTCGTGTGGAAGCGAGAGGACCAGGACACCAGGAGGTGGAAGATCTTGACCGTAGGACACTCCAGAGTCACCCTGGACCATCGGATATCCGTGCTGCATGATGAGGGTAAGGGTGAGTCAGAGGGAAAAGTATTTAGTAGTATTATGCACTTGATAATCAAATAATGATTATTAGTAATATAATTATGCGGTGCTTTCCTGTTAAAGGGAACATTCATTAATATCGATGATTTTTTTCTCGATATATCGATATTAACAAATTGAAACATATCAGCTGACAACTACGAAAAATATTGTTCAGTATCAACAAACATTAATGAAATGAAACTGTTCTAAAAAAAATAACCTAACATAACTAACCAAACTAGCTGAAACATTTAAAAATTCCGTGTTTATAAATTGCCTTTTATATTCAAACCCAAACGGAATTTTTAAATGGTACAGCAAGTTTGGTTGGTTATGTTAGGTTAGCTTAGAAACAGTCTCATTTCTTAATCCAAATAATGGACTATTTTAGCCTAAACAAGATCAGTTAGTTGTTGTTGACAATTTGTAATGGATCGGAAAACAAAAACATCGATATATCGAGAAAAAAAAAATCATCGATAATAATGAATGTTCCCTTTAACAGGAAAGAAGCAATTATACTATTGGGAAATATACTCACATTTCTATTTTACTAAAAGTATTATAAATTATGCGGAGTAAATCATCATTACTTTGATAACAAATAAACAAATAAGATAAAAGTAATTTTCAATACCAGTAAAATGCTAATTTCTTAACACTTTCCCTCTTTTATTTACAACTATTTAATTTTCCTAAAAATTTTAAATATACTGGTTGGAATGTAGTTAGTTTTAAAATACTAGACGTGTGAGTTTTTTTTGTGTTTTGTTTTTTTATTGGAAGCTGAATATTACCTATTTTAATTCTCATAACCTAACAGGTAGGGGATGGCAAACGAATTACGTTTTTTCCAAATATTTGTATTTTCTTTGATCATATCGCTATTAGTACAGATTTTTTTCATTTTTTAAGATTACTCGTTAAACTATCAATGAAAATAGTATAGAGTCATTGAGATTAATCATCTTTATAAGCCGTTATTCTGCAATGAAATTTTGAATTTGTGATTTTTTAGAAATATTCAATAACTTTTTCCATACTACACTAGACTATAAAGAGTATCAAATATTACTTTAATCTTCTCCAGTTAATACACTTTAAAATGGTGTAAAAAACTGAAAAACATAAGCACCGTGTGCAAACATAAGCTTGCATTGGTTGTGTGTGTTTGGTGTTTGTTGTGTTTGTTTGTCAGATTTGTTAATTTAAAATGATCCACACGTAGAAATGTTTTTAAAAAACTCACAGGTGAATTTGTGACACTAAATCATAAAAATAATCCTTTATTCGTAAAAGAATGTACTAATAAGGTACCTAAAATTACCTTAACTTCAAACTTAAGATCATACATTAAGTCTAAACACGTAAAACCACTCGACAAAAGCTAATATGTAGTAAAAGTGTATATAAATTTAAAATAGCAAAGCTTATTTACTGCAACAACCTCAAACATTCTCTTCGTAAGGGATTTACAGGAATCCAAAGTTGCTATAGGCTAAGAGTGCGGTACAAGTTGATGGAGTGCAAATACCTCTAGCTACAATTTGCTCAACTGGAGCGTTAGGTAAACAGATTCAACAAGAAGATGAACAATATCAAGTCTGATGAGCAGAACAAGCTAGGCGATCATTCGATTGTTTCCATCAAGTAAGATTCGTGCCTTAAAGCAGTTCACTGATTACAAGCAAAGCAAATGATTTACCAATCTGCATTATATTAGATTGTGTTCTAAGCCTTCTTTAGTTCGCAACTAGATTAATAATTAATATATTATTAGGTTATATTTTTGTTTCAATAAATTTACATTTGGATTCTTATAGATTTTAAGAAAAAAATATACTTTACTTTCCATAAAAATACAGAAATATGCATGATACCCTTACCTCGAAATAAAATATCTGATTTTCACAAAATTTTAACTGGATTAATTAAAAATAAAGTTCAAAATCTAAGCAACTTTAAGTTAAATATGAAGAACAAATATTATAAGCATAAATGTTCAAATAAAACTATACCATGTGCATATTTGAGTTGGTGAAGCAAATGCAACAAGAATGCAACACAACACATATTCAATGACAAAGGGAATTAATTAAAAAATAATGATAGATCTCAAAAAGATTTAGAACGTGGATGTATTTTAATTAGTGTAAATTGTGGATTTTTGTGTTCAGGTATGATATTTTGTATTATATTATTATTATTTTAACAACTAATTTTCATGATTGCAAATTATAACTATGAAAAATATAAGACTTTTCACAAAGATCTACAGTTAGTCATCTCCTGTAAGAAATTTAACACTCGATAAGTTTAATAAAACACAAAGGTTTCATTTTTAATGAAATACTTCTTTCAATAATTACTTTTAGGAAGTGTTTTCAATTAATAATCACAATTTTAAATACATATTGAACTTTTTACTATTTTTCCTCAAAGATTTACATTAGATGTTTACTGTAAGGTTATATTCGGGTGATGATTACAGTTTGTTTTTTTTTACAGGAGGAGTGGTATGGGTGCTCGCTATCAAAAACGTGAAGCATGCCGACTCTGGTCTGTATGCCTGCGAAGTGAACAGCAACCCAGTGGTGCGGACATACCACAAACTTTCAGGTCTGCTCCAACATTCTTTACATTCAATTCAAAATATGTTACATAGTTTCCTCGTGTTCTATACAAATTCAGCATTATACGAGACTCTGTATATACTCATTTTTTTGAGGTTGGCTGTTAGATAAGATTATATCATTACATTAAAGATATTTCAAGTAAACAATATTATTGTAGTAGTAGGCATATACTAACACTTATTGTGCACAAGGGCTTGGTTGTTTAGCTAGCCAAGTGGTTAACATCTCAGAATTAAGTGGGAGACGCATTCATCCCCAGGAAGTCTGAAAAAATCGTGTATGTCTGATTTTCTCAATAACAAAATTCCACCAGCGTTTACACTATGAATTAAACACATTTTTGGTAATTGAAAATGCATTTAGAGGTATTAATTAACCTTTGCCCTTTAAAAATCAAAACAATTAAGTCAAATCTTTTCGTCACCTTTTGAATTAAAATGTAAACTGATATCAGGCTTTTCTTCTTCATTCCTCTGTTGGATTGCTTCAGTGAATGCCCTAATGGGTTTTTAAAGATCATTTAATATACAGTACTCAAAAAATGCATCAGGCATTTTAGTCAACTAGTGCTATATTTGGATTCAGTGTTATGACGGAATCAATTTGAAATAAATCAGATCATGTTGGAATCATATAACTTTAACTATGTTTGATAATCCGATATGTGCAAAAAAATATAATTCCAAGTCCCAAGCTGTTTATGAAGTTTTACACTGGCTCTTGGGGACATTTTTCTATAAGTGTACATATTCTCTCTTAGCTTGATATGAAAATAAATACCGTGTAGAAATAAACGTTACTTAATTTACGAAACTGTTAGTTATTTGGTGATATTGTAAAGCTTTACCTTAGCAAGGATTGCTAAGATAAGACCTTAAAATATATTAAATCAATCCAAATTTTAAAATTATTGATGAGCTATTTGTTGCTCTTGTGGTGTTTATATTTCCTTACGTTTGTACGTAATTATGACTACCATATTATGTATATTTTGTATTCTCAATAACTTTTCTATACCCCATGTGTATTTTTTTACAGTTCTATCGACGGATCTGCAGCCACCCCAGGTTAGCCAACCTCCCCCGGTGGAGACGAGCGACCCCGCTGACGTCACGACAAATCCTGCCAACCACAACTACACCAGCTGTTGTATCGCCAGCAATGTATCCACAGGATGTCTGGGCTTCTGTAACATTCAGAGTATCCTGGACGGCCAGACAGGGCAGGACCCGGAGAACTGTGAGACGGACTTTCCCGCCATCGTGCGCTGTATGGCGGGTGAGTATGGTTGAAAAATATTACTTTACACCTGTAAAACTCCGTCAAGGCCACAACAGAAAATTGAGGTTATACAGACTATTTCAAAGGGGTCACTCTTTAAGATAGGTGTATGGTTAAAAGACTGAATTGACTAATAAGAGTAATCAACGGCAATTACACATTTGTAAAGTTTAAAAAATGTAAAACATATAAATTAAAATTACAGTGAGTTCGTTATTAATTGAATCAAGATTGTTACCATTTGGGGGAAATTTACTGTGCTAAAATTATTTCTATTTGAGTTAGATTAAAAATTTAAAAAAATTTAATGTAATGTGTTAATTCAGGACCTGATGAATATACTGATTACCTTGTTTTGACTAGTGCTAGTATTTAGCCTATTGGACTAAAGTGTGAGGTTATGTGCTTTTAATCCCGTCGAACCCATAATCATTTGTATTTAGCTTTTATCCCTTAAAGAGTTTCTAGTAGCTTTATATGAAATAGAATATCACTCACGTTGACATTGCCAACAAAAAACGTAATTTTATCACTTCTATTCGGATTTTTTTAAATCTTAATAAAGAATAAAAATAGATTTTACGTACATATATCCATATTGTCATTCTTTTAAATATTTATTTTCCTGAAATGGATCACATAAGTGTAGCGCTGTATTCTTCTTAATATAATTTCAATGAGAAATCTAAGATTTTTGTAAAACAATTTGTTCTGTTCTGCTTTTACTATCCTTCCCACTTTTAAGCCGCAAAATAAGAAACAATTTCCTTTTCGTGGCTGATAATTCCTCAGACAATCGCGTCAGAATCGTCGCTCTTATAGCAGTTTGGAAGTTTTCATCAGGCTGGATAGATTCTCAAAGCATCAAAAGCAGCCATTTTGGTGTTATGAAAACGTGAATGGCGGCGCAAAGTGAAAAGCTTTCAAAAGTGAAGAGCCCCGCCGCTCACAGATCTCGCTGTTTCTATTGTGTGGATTTATTTTGAATAGATATTGAGGATAATCTTCACATCGAATCCAATTAATGCTATCGCCAATTGAATTGGACTCCATTCCGATTGATCGTTTCAAACAGTTAATACAATTTATTAATTGAATTTCTTTTGAAGTGGATTATGTTTTATAAATATGAACCTACTTGGTTTATATTCCTCGCCTCGATCATGTTTTCATTCATGTTTTCAATGATGTTCATCATTCGTAAAAGATCAAAAACATGTTAACACGATGAAAATATTGTTTTTACAATTTTATTAAATGTAGCTTTCTTTTTTAGTTACTTATTTCCATTTTTACATTCTTAACACCAAAAATTTATTTTAGTAACTATGTGGATTGGAAATTCAAACAGACTAAAGCCTAAGATAAAGCCTAAGTCTGTCTCAAAACCACAATATAGTCTTGTAAATAATATTATATTGACTGAAGTATAGACGAATAGCCAACCAATCATCGCAAACCAGCCCTGAGTGTATTCTGTGATCTTTCGAAAGCTTTCGATACAGTTAATCACAATATTCTTTGTGAGAAACTGTAAAAATATGGTGTTCGAGGAGTTCCACTAGCTTGGTTCCGATCGTATCTTTCAAATAGAATGCAATTTGTTGAGATTTCAGGATTTCGGTCGCATCTCGCTGAATGCAAGTTCGGGGTTCCTCAGGGTAGTATTCTCGGACCATTGCTTTTTATCGTGTATATTAATGATCTATCAGCACATCTTCATTCAGCTAAATCAATCTTCTATGCGGATGACACACCCTTACTGTTTGGAGGTCCATGTTCCAATTTGCAATCCCGAGTTGAAGAGTCAGTTAGTTCACTTTTAAGTTGGTTATCGCTGAACAATCTTAGACTAAACTCCGATAAGTCCTTTTTCATGCAATTCCTAACTCTCAATAAGATCCCTGAATCCGTCTCGTTGAATAAGTTCGAGATAGAAGAGTGCTCTGTTGTGAAATTTTTAGGTCTAACTGTGGATAAAATGTTGTCATGGTCCAATCATGTATCACAGCTTTGTTGCAAGTTGAACCGCATCTGCCATGCACTTAGGACGTTGCAACCTCTTCTTGACTGGGAAATGTTAGTTGCAGTCTACTATGGTTGTTTTTTCTCAGTCATGACTTATGGTATTGAAGTCTGGGGTGGTTCTTCCCATGGTGATAAGGTCTTTACCGTACAAAAAAGGGCAGTGCGTATCCTCAATTGCTTACCACCACTCCATTCATGCAGAGGAGTCTTCCGGGAGAACAACATTTTAACTTTGCCTTCTATATTCATCTAGAGAGCAATAATGTCTGCAGTAAATCATCTGAAGGATATTCCATCGGTTGGTCAATGTCATAGATACCCCACTAGGCATGGAGGAGATCTTCGTACTCCATGTCATCGTCTGACCCTTTCTGAAAGGAATGCAAATTTGCGGGCCCATTTTTCTTTAATAGGCTTCCTGAAGAAGTAAAGCAGTGCAGTTCAAGGTTGGGTTCTAATGGTTTTGGGAAACTACTGAAAAATTATTTGGTGGAAGGTGAGTTTTACAGTACCGAAGAATTCCTGTCTGCCTGATCTCATTCAACATGGCACTTTTATTTGACTTATTTGTTTAAATCTTTAGAATAAAATAGATTTAACTAATTATTTTTCGTTTTGATTTAAATGTTACTAGACCATATAATGTATTTGACGATTGAGATGTACATGTATAATTTGTACCCAATTCATGAATAAAACATGTCTATGTCTATGTCTATCATAATGTAGCTGAAAAAATATAACCTGATTATTTTATTAATTCTTACTGTACTGAAAAATTTGGTTAAATTATATATTTTGTTGACAGTAGTACAGTAATAAAATTGTCATTTTGTACTCTTGATTTGGATTATAAACAGCTAATTTCTCAATAACTAGCGGAAATGCTTACTTCGCCTTTACTGACAGCTGTTTTACTTTTCCCAATCTGAATGAAAAGTTAAAACAAACTCAGGGTTACTAATGAATTAACAATAGTAATGCATCTTTCACAATCATTATCCTTTTACAAAGAATTGCCTAGTATTTAAACAATTTGGTTTAAAATCTATACTAGAATTTATTGTTTAGTTTTCACAATATTGTATTTAATTATTAATAGTTGATCAAAAGCTTGTTTACACTAAATTAAGATTTTTGTATCAAACAACAGCAATTGACAAAATATAAACATAATTTGTTATTGAAGTGTCTTTTTATACTAAAAAAAATTAAGTATTTTGTCTAGTCCGTATTGTTTTACGTTTAAAAGGTGCAACTTTGCTCACTAATTGCACAAATATTTAAGATCTGTGTTTTTTTACGTATTATACTTTATGATACTCGTGTTATAAGGCTAGAGTTTATTGCGTATTCTATAGCAAAAATGTAAAAAAATATTTTTAAACTAAATTTTTTGTTTACTCTAGTGAGTTTTTGACAAAGTACATTTGTTCAGATGGACGTAACCACGTGCAGTGCTGTGTGGACGAGGGAGTACCCGACATATGTCAGGATGTGTGTCGAGGAGAATACACTGTCATCACGGACAACATCAAGACTCACTTCTCTTGTTCTGCCTACACCGAGAAAACACTTTCATGTATCGTCTATGGAATAGGTGAGTGATGTTTTGCAGTGTTGTGTGTGCTCTATGTTCCTCTAACATGGGAGAAAGATGTAAGGCAAAAATATGATGGTTCAAAGCTTCTTTGATTAATCTTAAAATGGTCATGATGTAAATATATTGCAATGAATGTCAAAGCTACATCATTACATCCATATCGTGAGATTGTTAGAGTAGAGATGAGAGTAGTATAGTTTGTCGGTGCCGTTTTTTGTGGAGCGAGGTTTTTGGGCCAACGAATAACAAATTTAATCATTGTATATGGACATTTTATGCAAGAATTGGCGTGTCTTTTAAAATATCCAACAACATTCGTTTTACAGAAATTACAAGTCTTGTGACTTTGTAATATATGTGATTTTAAAGCCGCGTTATTATCACAGATTAAATTGCAAACTTTGCACAGTTTCACCTTCATTTTATGAATTACCTTGTAGTGGCGAATCAGGTTACTTTTGGTGGAGAGCGACACGGAGCAGTGTTGACAGGTGGGCCTCATGGTCCAGAATGAAATATCACCCGAATGTCACTTCCATTTATAGACTTTTAGAAAATTTCGAAACTTTTGAAATTTTCAAAATTTTTAGCTTGAAATTGAAAAAGTTTAAACAATTTAACTAGAAATTACTTCAACAGGAGGTCACCCACCCAGGACTTAATCAAGAGCTACCACTAGAGACGAGAAGACCGACCATGGGTCAGGAGCGAGAAGCCTGGCCATAGGTCGGGAGCATGCCTACGCCGGGAGCGCACCCAAGTTCGCGTACAAACTCGCACTGTCAAGTTGATGATTTTGAGAATACACATGTGAATGCATGTGGATTTGAAATAGTAATGAAGTTGTACAATGGTATTGAACATTAATATAGGCTTGTATAGGCCGTGGGCTGGATTTTTAAAAAAGTGGTCAAAAAAAGCACACCATGTTATTGTTATGGGGAAAACGTGCCTAAAGTGTCATCATATTCTTCTATTGTCACTACTGATGAGATTTGTAGTAAGGAAACTTTCCATCAAAGCCAATTATTTAGCAACTGATTTGTAGACCTGACATTCTCAAAACCAATCTTCTGTTTCCATCCCTAGTTACTCTTTCGTCATATTTATTGTACAACTTCGGATCTCTTACAGAGGTCCTGCCTAGTCAGCCACGCAACGTGGAGGTGGAGGGTCTGAGTGACACGTCACTGCAAGTGTCATGGCTGCCTCCACTCAGCAATGCTGATACCATCTCTCAGTACGTAGTGAACGTCACCATGCTGCGCTCCTTCGACGCCAACATCGCCGAAACTGACACACAAAACTCTAGTCAAGCAATAGTCACGCCACACACCGTACAAATTACTGTTAAGGTGTGTGATCTAATTTATATAAACTTGGCATGGCAAACCAAGTATTTTGTTTTCTTATTGTACAAAAAGTCTACAAGTTATGGTAGGTCAGTAGACGATGGTAGGTACACTCACTATTATTTAAAAATCCAAATTTCTTTTAAATTTATTTGTATTGATTTTACATTAAAGGCCCGTTACAATATATACATATATTGTGTTACAAAATATACATACAATATAAATATTGAAACGGGCCTATAATGTAAAACTGATGGAGTAAATAAATTTTAAGGTATCATGGATTTATAAATAATAAAGATATTTTTTGTTTTTAAATTACGGTAAGCTTTTATTTTTAATTTCAAAAGCAATCGAGTGAAATAGGCCTAATACAAATTATACTATTTCAGAGTGATTAGTTTTTTTGAACTTGTAGCCAATTATTTAATGCATTGCGATAATATGGTTAAAATTGTGATCTGAGACAAACTAAAGAAATCAAAATGTAATTTCAAAGTTGGAATGTCTGTACTCATTATATGCATATATTACAAAAGTAAAGACTAAAGCCAGTTTATAAGTAAGTGTATATAGAACAGCAGCACGTCAAGACACTAACATTTTGACTAAGCAACAAACCACTTGTTTACTTCAGACCACGAAGTTTGACAGAACAGTCACTGGTTAACTGAGTCAAATGACTAAGAAGCCTCTTTCTATCCCCACGGGTATTTCAAATTACAAATTATGTTTTCATTCTGACAGGTTTCTAAGCAAACAAACAACGCTATCGTAGGTAACCTAGTGCCTCTGACGATGTATGAGGTGACAGTGACCGCGTGGAATGAGAACGGGAGCAGTCTGCCCGCCAACGCCGTCCGCACACTGACACTCACTCCTGGTCAGGTCAAGCCGGTCACGACAGCGAAGCCACCCAAACTGCCTGACGTGCGGGCCTGCTGTGTGGAACAGGGCATCACGCACGGAACGTTAGTATTGGCTGTGAGCTTGCTAGTTAATAGTATTCCTAAGTTCTCTAAATGAAACTACAAACAATTTGTACTAAATATCTGTAAAGCAGAAGTTGAACAAATGTTTAGAATTTTTGAGCTTAATGTAGTTTGGGGGGTGAACATAAAACAGTCCAAGATTAATTCACATAACTTGCAGTGGTAATAATAGTATAGCAAAAACACCCTTATGTTTCATTTTAGAAAGGAAAAGAGACAATAAAATAATTGAAATGATGAAAGTCTTTTAACATTTAAATATCATGTTAGAAATTTTTATTCAACCCTTTTTTATACACAAATTTCAAGATTACATCTAATATGTTTCCTTATGCTAATTTTAAGGACTAATCCCTCCTTTAACTAGATTTCTCTTACCACAAGATTACAAGCAGATGGATACATCGTTAAATGTCTCGTTTACTAAAAAGTTATGAAAAATAAGTTTAATTTAAAGATCCACAATAGTTCCTATATCATCATAACCTCACCATTACTAGCTATGAACTAGGATTCTTTGAACATGGTCACATATACTGTAGTAAGTGCATTAAATGGGATTTGATCAAGATTAATGGGAATCTTAGTGATAAGTGTTTAAAGTGTACTAGAAGAACAGTAAACTAGTTTGCAAGTTTCAAAGTTTTCCAGTTAAGGGTATAATGTATACACGATTAAGATTTAATTGATAATACTAGTAAAATACAACACAGTTGAGTGTCACAACATTTCCTTACTTTATTTGCAAATTAAATACAGCCTTGTTTAAATCAACGATTCATTTGTTAATCTTATGCACCGAAGGCTACTCATGGCCTAAAAGTGTTTTACAAGCCAATATAATCAATCACAATACAACATTGAGCAAAATAATAAATCTAGCCCCTCTTATCCATGAAGTTAGAGGTAATGTTTGACACATATTTAGCCGGACAAATTTTACTCTACGAGATGAACTAAGTGATATTGAATGATTTCTGTGACATTTATTTAACATCATACATTACATATGTGTGATACGTATGTGTTATTGTGACATATGTGTTATTTTTCAAGCACCGTCAAATATTTCATCCATTTTATTCCCTAGCTTGTGGTTTAAATATCCCTCAAACAAATTTAGCTGAAACGTGTTTTTGTCTGTTTTTTTCATTTAATCTTCAAATATTCATCATGTTACTTGCCACTCATGTATTTATTGTAAAAATTGAGTTAACCATGTGAGTAAATAAAAAAAACGAACATGACAATAAAGCAATTTCTTTTATTGAGAGTTTCTGATTTGCATACGTTTTTAAAATTTGCTTCCACTCTCAGATGCCTGGACAAGCTGTGCACTATTCCTCAGTCGTCTGTGGCTGAGGTGACAGATCTGATGATATGTGCTCCCTGGGCCCGCCAGACCTTCAGTTGTCTCGCCAACGGTGTGGACCACAGGCCATGCTGTAGAGCCCGCGGTCTACCAGACCTGTGCCAGGACCTCTGCTCCGGCAACGTTACACAGCTGGACTTTAGTTACTTCAAGTGAGCATAGAATCGTAGCCTATTACGTTTAACTGTAACAATTATTTGATAAATTTTGATTTGGAATAGTGTTAATAAAGTGTTAATGTATTGTAATGATTGTTAAGTTCTCTAACGACCTATGAATATTTTACTTTTTGAATTATGCTCAAAATATACTTAGTCCAATGATTTTAAGCATTTAATTCAGCTTTAACCTCTGATGCCAATGTTAAACTATCTCTGCATTAAAATATCTAGCGTAATTTTATTATTTATTTAACGTATATATTTTAAACATACATAATTCCATGACGTTTAATTGTAACAATTATTTGATAAATATTAATTGCCAAGTTTTTTAACGACAATTGACTTAACTTTTTGAATTATGCTCAAAATATGCCCAATGATGTTAAGAATTTAATTTAATTTTAACCTCTGATGTCAATATTTTTTTAGTCTTGAATGTCGAGTTTCGTTGTTAAAATCTCTCTGCACTAAAATAGCTAGTGTAATTTTGTATTTTCTTTTAACGTATATTATATATGCAATCCTGACGTTTGATTCCTGGCGTGATAAATGTTGGACCTAGATGCCATTTGCTATTGCCATATCAAATAATGGTGCTATCTAGTAAAAAATCAAAGTAAAATAGTATCAAGGGTCGGGTTTGATGGAATCCGCTGCAAAACCTCAAAAAATAGAACACCAAAATAGCAGTATAATATACAACACAAAATGTCATCGTTCTTTTGACATTCCAATCAAAGAAATACGTAAATTTACCCTGCTTTACTGTAACATATATTGGTAATTTATTAAATCGTCGGGCTAATATAACTGATATGTATTCTAGGTGTGTAAAGTACATGAGCACCTACTCCAACTGCCTAATGCAAGGCTACGGAGTCCTCCCTAGTCAACCTAGCAGTTTGAGAGTGTCCAATGTTGAGACAAATTTCGCCATCGTCCACTGGGGCAAACCCAAGACTCTTGGCGACACTGTCACTCACTACAACCTGCATTACAGGCTACTGCAGGAGCAGGAGTATAAAATGACACCAAAGGTATGGCATTTAAGTTAATGTATAATTATTGGATTTTATTAATACAGTATACAAATTAGTTTATTCATATTTCTATATAAAACTGTCAGCATGTTTATGATGGAATAAAATATAAAATGATATTCCATTCTATTCATTACTAGGACCTAGGACCAAATAATTTTGTTGGACTTTTTAAAACGTTTTTATTAGCTCGCTTTCTAGTCGGGTACAAATTTTGCAATCAATTTTAAACTAACTTCCCGATGAGCTAGAGACTTTAAACTTGAAACATAGCTCACAAATGGATGAAAATGCAATATTATATAATTTAATATTCATATTTCCCTTGGGCTACGCCCCATAGGCTACCAAATTTTCCATGTTTACATTTTGGAAGAATGTAAATATATCAATTTAAGTCAGCTGTAAATACTTAAATTTGACAGTTCGAAGAGCAGAGGTTAAGAGGTACAGTTTCTGCTCCTGAGGGATTTTAAATATAAAACAAGCATTTCAAAGTTAAGATATGCAATTCCAACTCATTTGAAGTCAACAAGCACAGAAATGTATCTAGTTTAATCTGAAATATGGAACAAAACATCTTTCAATGTATCTTTTCATTACAAAGGGAGACTAGGCGACTAGACCTAAAAAATTCTAGACTAGACCTAGAAGAAAGTGAAAATTGGAAGTTGGATGAATGATGTATTTGAAATCAAATGTTTAGTAACCATTGAAATTTAACATTTTCTAATGCCTATGTTGCCTATGTGTGCAGGTGTTCTCGCCCTATGTCCTAGAGAACCTCACCAGTGACTCTCTCTACGAGGTGTACGTCTCTGCTGCCAACACCCACGGCGTGGGGGAGTCTTCACAGAGAGTGGTGTTCAGCACGGAGAGCAAGGTGATCAATCAACGCCAAGCACCCGATACTAAGCTACATTAGCTTGCTTAACAATTGAGTTAACCCTTCGGCTTAGCGGGAGGATAATGTTTAAATGATTTTTACCGACAGTTTAATACATTGAGAACCTTTTATCGGGTTCAAGTTGAACATTAATAAAATAAATATTCTACAAACTCATGAAATAAGGAATATGTTTTTTTTTTGTTTGGTTAGGTTTAATAAATGCATACCCATTATTGTTAATCAATAATATAACCATTTCGTAATCCAATATGTTGATATTTGATTAAGGATTTCCTAAGGTGCATTTGGGCGTAATAGCTCTTTTTTTACATTTATGATGGGTAAATTAACATAATTAAATCAACATGGTTTTTATCGTGCTAACTTAAGGAGATATAGCCTACGCTCATATTTTATTTTTGATTAATAAGTATGTTTTTACTGATTGAATACTTATCGGTATAAGTTAAATGTAACGATAAAAGTGTGTCTTTCTGTCATTCCTTGTAATTTCTTGTCGTTTCTCAACAAAATTTGAATTTCTGATAGTTATTTTCAAGAAAAAAACTACGGACAGGTTTGAATATTTACCTCTTATATTTTCAGCTGAAGGATGCTTCAGAAGAGGAGTCAGTGAAGGACTACAACGTGACTGCGTGTTGTGTAGAGGCAGGCCTCAGTGATATGTGTATGCCCATCTGTTCCTTCGACGCCAGCATGACCAAGCTGAAGGCGCTCGGAGGTGTGTGTGCCAGTGAGTTCTCCAAGCTGCTACGGTGTGGCGCTGGAGGGCGGAACCACAGGGGCTGCTGCGCCAGGCGGGGAGTGCCCCCGGCATGTCTGCCTCTCTGCTCAGGGGTCATCGTGGAGTCGGTGATTGTCACCGTGTCCTCGTGTGTCCCTTACATTGGAAACATCGTGCAGTGTTTTGAAGAAGGTTTGTTACGAAACTACTCAACGTCAGTAAACAATAGAATGATACGTTAAATTAAAAATCAGGTAATACAAGTGAAGTCGAATGATTTTCTAGACAAACATGTTTTATCATAACAACCAGAGTCCTTGCATTTACTGTATTTATAATCTTCTCGTAGTAAGGGAACTAATGTAAAAGGGTGTCTATAATAAACAAAGAAAACTGTCCGTTTTTTAGGTGGATACAAACAGCGGGTATAAACTGTAAAAGAAAATTAACATAGGTTTTACTAGTTTACCTGCTCTATTACCAATATCAGGGGTGCCCACAAGGGGGGGCCGTGACGCAGACTGCGTCATTGAAATTCTTGGGGGGGGGCTCAAAAAATTCAAATGGGGGGGCTAAAGTTAATTGCAACAGTGTTCAACGTGACGACAATCAAAAATACATTACGAAATCGCCAGATAGAAAGTGGATAATTAATGACAATAGTTATATTATTGAATTAAATTAGTTAAAATAGGATTTTAGGATAGTTTAGGATTCGTGTAGAAAGTTATTATTTAAAATTAGCAAGACGTGAGATCTAAGAGAGGGAGCGCACGGGATGGCTCAACTGCTGTGGTACATAAAAGATAACAAGTGGTACAGACACGTCCAGCTACACCTTTGTTGACATAAAGCTCGTTAAAATACAATCAAGTAGCAAGTAGCATAGGCTACAATACTTTACACTATTGTGTATACTCGATTACCTGAGTTAATAGGGAGAGGGGGGAATGAAAAATACGGTTAATCCAATATAGTATAAAAACAGATGACAAACTCATTAAAACGCTGTAAACAGCCATTAAGTCACGATTTACATTTTTATAAACGAAATTCAATATTGCACAATCATTATTATTGTAAATTTCAAATCATTTATCTTGGTTCAGTTGTACAAACGGCAACGTTTAAAATTGTAGCTAACTCAAACTCAACTAATCGCTAGCCAAACATTACATTGCTATAAATAACGTAAATATTAAAGGAACCTTTAGAAAGTGTTATAAGGTACTGCTCATGATAGACAGATAGGCTACCGATAGGTGCTGTACAGCATAGGAATTGATAGATAAGAAATAAATAGTGTAAAATTATATTTAGAGATAATTAAAACACTCTTAAAAAGAATGTAACGAGAACAATCTTGTTATTCTCTTTCTTTGTTCTTCTGTTCATTAATAGGTTTCTCTTCAATTCATACACAAATTCAACAAGTCGCCATATTTAGGGCCGGTACACACACACCGACTTTGGACGCATGTGAGTACGACTGTTCGTGTCGTGCTGGCATACGACAAAGTCGTGTAACCTCACGACAGTTGTCGTATCGGTATACGACTCAGCAAACACAACGGCGAACTCTACTGGCTTTAGGACTACTAACCCAGCTAACCCAGGCATACAACCATGTATAAACAGAATGAATGTGTATGGAAAGTTTAGTCGTTGCTTTGTAAAAAAACTCGTTTTGAAAACACTTTCCAAAAATAAACAAGAATTTATGTAATGCCATTTATGCACATTTCATTAGGCTATACATCCTTAATTCGTCTAATTATATGTGTTATCAGTTAAGGTAATGTTAATTTTGGTTAATTTGTGATGCCCTTTACAATAAGTTACCACTACAATAAGTTATTTTTGTAAATTACATAGGCCTACAGTAGACTCTCTCTATTTCGGCCACCTCGGGACTGGACCACCGGCCGGACTACAAAATGACCGGACTATCCGGCTGTACTGTCAAAATTAATGCCCATTGAATACATCACCTATGGTTAAAAATCAACAAAGACGTTGTTTAATGTAGAACTATTTGAAAAATTACAATCATTCACCTATTTTGAAGTAGCCTACATAAATTTAATAATACTTGACTCAACCACTCACAACCGTTGCCATGATAGCATCTTGGAAAACGTCTAAAATCACTAAATAGATAGTTTTTGAACGTTTGTAATTTTAGTGTCGTAGACAAGTTTTAATAGCTAAAAACCCAGTGTGGCGCCCCGCAGTCGTGTCCCGAAACGCACTAGTGTGTATACACCGACGCGATAGCCATATAACGCCATGTCCCGCTACGTTTCAAAACAGTCGTGAGCCCATACGACACGACTTGCCTGTCGGACCCCCAGTCGGTGTAGGGCGCGACTCGAAATTTGTCGTCCACGACTTTGACACCTCCACGACTGCTATCGCACTAGTGTGTACACTCCCATGCGACTTCCATTGCCTACTTTGTTTCTCTACTTGTCGTGCAGATATACGATTTCTTGAGTCGTACAGGGACACGACAAAAGTCGGTGTGTGTGTACCGGCCCTTAGGCCTACTCATTGGCCAAACACAGCCTTACTAAAGTTACCATGGTTATCACTCAATCACAGTGTACTAAGCATTATATCGTCATCATTCCCCAGCTGTTGTATCTGAAATCTGTTGTAACATAGCGCACATCAGACAGAAGTGTATAACCATAGACTAACCAAAATGTTTTATCTATGGTATAACGGAGCAGACGATTGTTGGCGCAAGCGTTGTTTCCATTTCATTTTCATCAAAGGAGCTGTGATGTTTCTAAAGGGAGGGAGAGGGGATCGTTATATCGAGAAAGACGCTGACAATTCGTTATGGATATTTTGGCAATAAAATATTCCTTAAATTGAGGTGACTTATAAAACTCTAATTTTATTTATATAGAAAGATAATTAAGTATTCCAGTCCTGTACAACACTGATTCACGGTATTTTCCCTGTAATCAAAATTCAAGTACAACTTGATACACACAGAATCTCCGATTCCCGACCTGGATGATGGCTAGTTATTTAGTTTAATTTACAGTTACATATTAGTACTCGTTATAAATCAAACCCGTTATGTAAGCCAAAGCCACACTGTTACTAATCTCACTTGGTTTTGGATTTGCTTAAAAACGTGATCGGAAATGGTTAGGGCCTACACAGTATTCTTAAAGAACATTTATGTTAACATATCAGTGACAGCTAGGAAAAGGAATCTTTATCAAAACAGCTGTTCGTAATTTCATATATGACGTTAGTAGTATTTCATAAATTAATGACGTATGTAGTAAACATGGAGAAAATAAACTGGAAAAATCACACAAAATTGTATTTTTAATCTTAATCGTCCGTTATTTTATTTCCAAAATAGTGAGGCCATATTTTAATGGCTATAAGGACTCTCTCGCCAATCCTGTGGATACAATTAAACCATTAGAATCATAATCGGTACTCTAGTTTTCTTCAGCGTAGGCCATGAGTACTTGAGTAGGCTGCATAAAATGCCTTCTGGGCCGTGACAGACGGACTTAATGGAGATAAGACATGTTTCAACTTCTTCACTGTATAAAACATAAATAACCCAAAATATGTATAATTCTGAGCAATGTACAGACAAAACTATAACTTTATTGTTATAGATTAACTGGGTTTGAATTTTAAATATCTAAAAAAATTATAAAACTTCTTTTATAGTTTTACAAATAGTGCTGGGCGGGGGAATAATGTTTCTCATTTGTTGTGTATATCATTTATGGGGGGGGGGGCTATTGCTCAATTGAGGGGGGGTGCGTCATGAGTCTAGGGGGGGATGGGCACCCCTGCCAATATAATACAAAACGTCTTTTAGCACTACTAGATATATTTACAATCATGTCAAACTTTTTGCTTTATAATAAATGTAATATGAACTATAATGTAAAATATGTGACAAAGGCTATTAATTTGGGCCAGACACTTGTTTAATAGCACATGAACAAATGGCATAAACTCTCACGTCATAAAAATAAAACTTGAGTTTTATTATTATTATTATTATTATTATTATTATTATTATTATTATTATTATTATTATTATTATTATTATTATTATTATTATTATTTGAAAATACATAGTCAATAGGACAATGATAATATACTAAGGAAAGGCATATTTCCTTATTTACACTGCCGATTAGCTGATATAGAATAAAACGAAAACCTTTGTTTCATCTACTTATAAGTTTCAAACAAATTCATAAGAATTTTTAAATTAAATCCGTGTTTGTAGTTTTTAGTGACAATATATATTTTGACTATTTACAAAATATTAGCGATTCAGGTTCAGAAAGGAGGATATAGTTGAATTATGAATAATAGAACAATACGTGATGAATAATTTAATAAATTATATAATACATGTAATAACAATAACTGGTTTAAATCACTTGTAAACATCTACGTTTAGGTCTTATTTTAGATATTACCTTTTAAGGTTTAAGACAAAGATACAACATCTTGTTTATCATGGTATTAACATCCATTGCAGGCACAGGGCTGCTGCCAGGTCCAGTACAAGAACTTCACGCAGTTTACGTCACGGACTCCGAGGTCACGTTGACTTGGGAGCCACCCAGTGACAACAGCAACGTGACTGACTACGTGATACATTACAACAAAGTAGACAACACGTCCACACACGAAACTCTACTTAAACTGGACAATGTGAGTTGCATCGTTGTTTGTAAACTATTGTTGACTTGTAATCATTTATTGCAGTTATCCATTCTAGTTCTTAAATAACTTGGACCTGGTCAGGGAAAGGACATACTTTATTACGAATATAAACGAGGGATAAAAGAAGGATGAGTATTTTATGTGCTTTATGTGCCTTTTACTTACTAAGACCAGATGTTCTTAAGTCAGCCAAAAAGCTCATTTCATAAAAAATAAGTGGAATAAAAAACCGGGATTTTGAATGTTTTAATATTATTTACTGATAATGTAGGGTATTTTTTTTATACTTGGAGATAATTAGTCCCATACTGGTTCGGAAAAATAAGTTTAACTTCTATCCATTCATCCTGTGTTTTGGAGTTAGTACCCGCATTGTGAGTAGCCCATAGACTCAAAAAAGACGGAGAGAAATTTCGATAAAAGGTGTTTCGCATTTTAGTCTATAAAACATCAAACCCGACAAAATGTATGACCCTTAGAAATTTACAAATAAGCCCGTACAATTTTTTGTATGAATAAATATTTTTTATTTGTTTTAAGCAACAAAACGCTTCAGAAACAAGCGCCACTGTACGGGGACTGGACCGAGGTGCTTTGTATAATATCTTTGTAGTATCTCGCAACGAACACGGCACTTCACTACCTTCTTCTCTCCTTTTGATAAACGCTACGAAAACAGGTAGGTGTTTAATCACTAATATTATAAATGTGAAAGTTTGTGTATTTGTTTGTTTGTTTGAAGTTCAATCACGCATTAACTACTGGACGGATTGGGCTGAAATTTTGCATGATGATACCTCATATTCCCGATTAACATATAGGCATATTCTTATCTCAAAAACCCTTTCGGGCTCCGCCCCAGTGGCTCTGTAGTTCCCCATGTTAACCTTATGAGTATTCATATTTAAAAGGAATTAAAGAATTTAGTCAGCTGTTTCAACTAAAAAAGTTGGTTCTATGATATGGAAAGTATTAAAAAGTTATGAGATTTACCAACAGGGTGCAGCACTATTATTTTTTTCCATTTATGAAAACAGCTTATTTGAACTTTGAACTAAGTAGCAACAAAAAACAGTGATTGGCAATGAGAACTAACTGTCAAAGTAGGATTGTTTACTGTTATGTTTATGTTTTTAATTGCATGAATAATTTGTGATGTTTTGCAAAGTTTTAATTATTTATTTTTCTCTATTGTTTAGGTGCAGTGGTAGAACATTATGGCTATGGTAGATGTGTAATACTATAGTATAGCGTAAATTTTATTATAGTAAACAGTTTTGTTCAAATGTGTCCTACCCCATTGCAAAAGCTAAGTTAGAGTATAACACTGCAATAAACATTTTGCACTTATATGCCAACCCCGTACGAAGGACGGGTACTCAGCTAGTGTTATTATATTCGTAGAAATTTCTAACTGCACTATTATATGATTTTTCTTATGAATGTAGCAACAATGAGGTTTTATTAAATTAAACATTAACTTCCACATCTTAATGTTTCATTGTTATTTTGTGCTATTTCGTATTAATTATCGATCCATCTAAAATATACACGTTAGATTGAATGATATAGCACAACAACAACCACAACGCAACTTTTGAAAAAAAAACTCAAAACGTTTGTGAGTTCTTTTCTAGTGTTTTCATTATACAAATGGAATGGTGTTAATATTGTTAACCATAGTCTATAATGGTTTTTAAATTATTTGGGTTCAAGAGTATACAATAAAGAGTAATAAGATCTACATGTATTAGTGGTTTGTTTCAAAACTATGGAAATAAAATAAATTATTCGAACATATTGTGTGTATTCAAACAAAAAACTTATGCATTTTAATATTTGTGTGTAAATGATTAGGTCAAAATATGCATAATGGAAATACAACAGTGCCCCTATTTGAGTTTAATTGTTAATGAACTTCGTGTTATTGAATATAGACTCAAAAATCCAATTGTTCAACATGATTGATTGTGATCAAATATCTAATTATCAGGGTTACAATTGAGGAAACCCATGGAATTAGACTAATTACTGACAATCATCGCCATGGCAATAATGGAATCCATGCTGATTCAGTCCGTGGATGTAGGGGTTAATTCATTATGCTGAAATGTGGTTGATTGATAACTATTGATCATCAAACGCTTTTATGTTTATGACAAATTTAGGTTTATTCTAAATTAGTGACCTTTGTTTAAGGTTTATAGTTAATCTTAAACTAGAAACATAGAAATAACTAGAAATGTATTCATATTTCTAAATCGTATCTCTCAATTTTCAGAACAACCTTTACAATATTGTCATCTTGTGCATACTGAAGGCGTATTATGTTATTTCCATCTGTTTAAACTTTACAAGATTTTTACAATAATTATTGTTTCGACATCCAGAGTTACTTATTAAATCTAGGTGGCTGAGTGGTTATAATTCTCACATATTAACCAAAAGGTCATTCGATCATGAGAACAATTAATTGGTAGCTTTTTAATGTTTTAAAGCTAGAGCGATCTATCCCTGATAATTGGGTTTTTAAAAATTGTCCTGATAATAAAAAATGCTTATCTAAACCGGTAACAAGGTATCCCACTTCATTCTACAATCTACACTAATCCTTCACACATATTTTGGTTGGAATACGCACCTACATATAATCCCATCTAACTGGTAAAATAGATTTATAACCCTACTTTCTGTTTCTTAATTTTAAGTGTACTTTTAGTCAAATCAACAGTGGTGTCTAAGACCCCTATGCTATGTAACATGACGTACAGTTTATGAATAGATTATTCTAAGGCCCTTTCAAGCAAACTTTTAACTTTTAACTCGGGGATATATATATATATATGCTGATATATATTAACGTAGTACATTTGCCTAATTTTGTTTTATTTTAAACGTATCATTTAATCAAAGTAACATTCACTTGTTAAGGTAACATTCAACTCTTAATTTAATGAGTGCATTATAACTTCCAAGGTCACATTTTACAATTTTACATTATGTTTTCTAAAATAAAATAAAAATTACTCCAAACTTTCTTAACTTTAGATTAGTAATCATCTGACAGCATTTATATTTTTTTCAACCCTGTTTTTTTTATTATGACATTACACAGTGACATTCTTTACTCTCAAGCTACCCGTAATGGGTGAGTCGGTGGCGCTACATACCTCGGGTCCAAGACAGCGATGTCGCAGGTTCAATTCCTAAAACCTGCCACAACTTTTTATCAGTACCGTTCACCCTTTTACTGTACCACGTCACACTTCTTGCTTTGCTAGATTCGTCCCACGCACATGCATCTGTGACCTATGTAGGCGGTGGAATACAAGGTGAAATAGTTCACCAACCTCTTTTAAAGGGTTTTGTTTAACGTTTTACATGTACCTTAACTGTGTTTAACATCTGAGTATATAAAAAGCTTTGTTCAATCTGAGCTCATCAACGTTCACTTTACAGCTCTGCCTGAGGGAGGTATCACTGGAGTGACGTCACCACCCCACTCCCTCGCTGTGTCTAGTCATAGCGCTACATACGTCACCATCTCGTGGCAACCCCCGGAGTTCAGCCATCCTGCAGAGCCAATCAAGTATATGTGAGTATTTACTTAGTTGATCAAGCTTTTCCCTTAATGCGCATTCAGTAAATTTTGTTATTGCCAATAAATGTCTCTCTCAACTTGTTTACGCTGAAGGCTTAACAAGTTAAATTTTTTTTCTATCAAGAACTGGTTTTGTATTAATGTTAAATCGCATTGTTTGTGGTCATTGTTAAAATGGTCGAACAAGAAACAAATTATCGAATGGTATCTTCAACCATGAAACCCAATATAAAGGCAATTAACCAACCTAATGTAAACTATTTACGTCAATAAAAACAATTCATACCGTTTTTTTTATTATTTTAAATTACCTTAATCTATAATATGAATTATTTAAAGGAATGCTAAAGTGGTAAGGTAATGTTGAAATCATATATTTTCTGATGTTATTATTGTTTTAGATTTAATTAGCACTATCTTAGTAGCAGAGGTAAAATGGTAAGAATTAATTTATTAATTCCTTAATTTATTAATTTAATTTAATTTTATAGGTTTAAAGTACTCTAGATAAACCTGACCTAACCCTGACTATATCATGTTAACTAGTTTTAAGGAAATGGACTCCCATGCTACAAGGAGTGATTTTCATGATTTTCAAACTAGAAACAGACACCAATTTGATATACCCCATGTTAGACTGAGTAAAACAATGAAAAGTCATAAAACTCTGGGCCTAAAATGTGTAAATAAATTTCCCAACAAATTGCTATCACTTCCTTAAAAAGTTGTTAAAGCTAAAATTCATATGTGGCTAGTAAAGAACCCATTCTACAAACTTAACGATTTTTTAGAACTTCCTAGACCATTACATATTGAGTAATGTTTGTACTTTTTTCTCTTGTAGTTATCCAGTTATCCTCATCTGCATGCATTTGATATTCTCTTTGTATCTTTTGATTTGACCTTGTACTCTACATCCATTGTACTCTTCCTTGGCAAATGTTTACCAACATAATACATTTCATTGATCATTCCACATGCAATTGTATTGTCTATTGGGAAATATAGATTTGATTTGATTTGATTTACTCTGATAAATCACTTTAACCATTACTTCCCTGTTTCAGGCTGTATTACAAGACAAACTCCGACACCAAGTATGTGAGCATTAACACATCAGTGACGTCACATATGATTGATGGTCTGAGACCCAACACCAAGTACATTGTCTACGTCACAGCCATCTCGAGGAAGGGGCAGAGTCTTCCTTCGGAGACGCTAGTCGCTTGGACAGACCCGGCTTTCCCAGCGTTCGTGGAGGTTAGAAATTACTGTACAACTATTTATTTAACCTGGAATCAATTATTTTGTTTATATTCTGTACTAGGACTGTTCCTATAACCCTAATGATAAAACTCTATTATTTTCTTATTTTAAATTTGTAGCTGATACATCAGAGTAGTATTCGGATAAAAACATATTGTGGGGATGATAATGAATTCAACCTGACGTTTTGACTTCGTTGCAGATTGTATGACATAATTTAACATGAAGATCACAAAACATCCCGAATTAATTTAAATTAACAGTAACCGTGGAAGTGGCAGGTTTTGTACTAGATGAAAACATATCAAGCTACTTGATAAAGATTGAAAATAATTAATAATGTATTAGTAATTTCAACTCTTGTGTAACACGAGTTTTTCTATTCAGCCCCCGACAGTCCACCCAATCAACCTGGTAGTAGAAGGCAGCAGTATGACGATATTGTGTATCGCCATGGGAACTCCGATGCCCACCATCTCCCTGTACATCTCCGGCAGACTGGTCAGACAGGAGGTGACCAGACACATGGTTACTGTCATATACAACGTCACTCGCGACATGGACATGATCTCGTGCTACGCAGACAACGGCTACGGAACACCCATGGAGCGCAGGAGGAGGATCGTCATCAGCCGTGAGTTCTAATATTAACGTTGTTGATAGGTCAATAGGGTTATGTAATTTTGAGGATATATTTACAGAGGCCAAGAAAAAGTGGTATGCAGGGTTAAAATGGTGGAAAGGTTTTTTTTTGCAAAAATAAAGAAGGTAATGGGTTATTGCTAGATAAGTAATATTCAGAAAACTATTTTTTACCAGTTTCAATTAAACGCGTAGGTATTATTTTTATCACGTTCCGTGGATGACAAAAAAAAGGGAACATTAATTTCCGACGGTAAAAAATATATTATAAATCAATAACTTTATAAAAATAGTAAATGGTGAGACAAAATGTGGTAATCGATTGTAGTTGGGGGTTTAGCGTGTATAAATAATATTAAGACCTTACTTAAAGTGTAATGTGATAACCAGATACTGGTACATAATGTAGACTATATATTGGTGAGGGATAAATCAAAACATAGGATAAGGTCAGTACTAAATTATAACTACTTTATTAATAGTGTTACAATGGATTAAAAATATATTTATTGTCAAAGGGCTTAAGGTTTTCTAGGACAAGAGACTAGGGAGTTGGCACAAAAACTAGATTTTATTATGTGTGTGTTGGTGTGTAGGTAAGCCCAACCTGACGGCCTCTGGTATCAGGATGGCCGCACCCGGAGAGTCCGTCACCCTGGAGTGTCTGCTGGATGCTCATCCGGAGCCGAAGATGTTGTTCTGGCGAGACTACGCCAACAGAGTCCCCGTCATTCAGGGATCTAAATATGACGTCAACATCTCACCAATGAAGGACGTGAGTGTTTATTTATCAGGTCTATTCATAGAAATCTTAGAATATAAATTGTAACGAGTTGAACTTTTAACGTTTTGGCACTCAAATCATCATACAAAACTTATGAGTAACGAGGTTATAGATTTGCTGAAATAACGTAAAAGTGAGATTAGGCCTAGTGCTTAATAATTATTTTCGATCTATAAACTGTAAATAAATTACAGTATTAAAAATAATGGTTGTGTATATCATGGTTTTGTTTAGTTCTGCACATTTACTTTCTGATAATACAATTATATTTTAATTTATAGAATAAAAATGCAGTGAAATGTATTAAACACGTTTAGATGAGTTTCATGAATCCATGTTGTATTCCTTCATATTTTCAAGTCCCATGCTACAACATAAATAAACTAAAACATTTTATGATTCCAAGTAGCAAATTTCCATTTCGGTATTTAACACTACGATACAATAAATAACCGTAAATTGATAATACAGCCTTTGTAAAACGGAAATATATGTACAACAGTAACATCGCTTATAATTAATTATTACTTTCTTTTTTTGCTTATCCGCGTATTAAAGAAAGCATACGACAGAAATTTAACGATATAAAGTAATTGTTGGACTATATTTTAAATTAATGGCATCGTGCTTTTTATAATCTAGCGTGCCATTCTAAATTTGCGTTTGATGTGATATTATACTAACCTCGCAGACCGTGTTTAGCGTTGTACGTATGATTAATAAATTCCCCTATGAGCAAAAATAACTATGAAAAAGTCATTTTAATGACAGTTAAGAAAACCTAAGTATATTTGATTATTTTAACAATATGAAATGTAGCAAAATTGTTAACAAAACATCTAATCACTGACCCAGTGTCACATTAATATTACACACAAAAAATTTTCCAAGATGTTTATAAGAAAATTTTTCTTGGATTGAATTTTGAACAGTAACAAACGTCATAAAAACACAAATGCATACAATGTACACACAGGTTACATGGGTTACAGGGAAAATGTACTGAAACATATTCTTACTCGAAGTTCATTATCATTGAGAAACCAATACATCTCTCAGCAAGGTATTGATCACGTTATCGGAGCTAATTTACTAGGTAATTCAAAGTGTGTCAGAGTCTAATTAATTCTCTAATCACAAGATGATTTACTGAGGTAGCATTTGCACAAGAACTCCTAATTAGTACCTTAGGTTGACTAAGCTCCTTGAACCCAGATATATCTACATGGCCAACTTGAGTGTTCCTTGAATCAATGCATACATAAATTGCCAAACAAAAAACGTATACGTCTACCAAATTAATTTATACATTCGGCAATTAGTTTTTAATTTTCAAATGAAAAAGGGAACTTTTTCTAATGGTTAAAAGGTTTTTTATTTACGTTTTAGTCCATTATTGAGAAGAATACTAGAAAAACTATAGTAATCATAGCAAATCTTTGGAAAACATGTAAACATTTGTATACATAGTTTTTCTGTTAAATAAATAGAAGATTGGCACATTTCCAAATATATTGAATAAAAGGTAAAATACACAATCTATGAAATATTTGCATTGAAGTCAGTGCAGTATTGGATTTCAAGAGTGGTTCGGATACTGTAACAACAAACAAAAACTGAAATGTTTGGATATTTATACTCAATCCCATCGTGAAACTTTGTTCTGTTAAATTCCAACAAAACCGTTTTGAATTTAGAGATAGATTAACCTATTTCCAGGCAGATGTGTTTACTGTATTTAAAGGCTGGCATCAGAAAACAGAGAGCTTAATGTCGACCACTTTATTTCTTTACTCGGTATTTCATAGGGTAAAATATATGTGTTGTTTAATACAATATTCATGATTCCAGGAGCCAGACCGATGGATGATGCATCTAACAATAAAATCCATATCCAAAGAAGACGAAGGGGATTACTACTGCCATGCTGAAAACAGCTTTGGGAACGACACTCAACCAGTGTCAGTGCGAATAAGACAAGTGGTGAGCAATCCCTTTCATTTTAGGCTATAAAGCTTTCCTTGGGTTAACAAAATTTTACTAAAACGTATAAAGATTTAACGACTTAATAAAACACAAGCATGTTATTTTTGAACAATTCTAAGTAATTAAAAGTAATAGTAAAGATTTCTCGTCATTAAAACAAACATATTATAAGGACAATAACGATTCTTTTAATGTAGCAATACTTTGAATCTATGATACCAGAAAGCATTCTTTTTATACATTTCGGTTGGTATTTAAAATTGCTTACACAATTAATTATGTTAAGCGATTTCATTTTTTAGGCTAAAGTTTAACCAAACAATGCTGCTATATAATGTAATACTGAAAAGCAACATGATTATTTACTATGATAACACAATTTAACCAATAAAAGTAACCTCTTAATTTAATTAAAAAACCTTTCATCACCGAAACTAAAAAACTTACTACTTCATTTGATAATTTGCATTCTATGTGTATGTTTGGATTAATATTTAATTACATACGACAATACAATATACGAGAACTAGTGAAACAAGGTTTACTTTAGATAGTTGAATGTTAATGATTTGTAAACCACTACGACAGAACTTAACAAAAAAAATATTAAAATGCGTGACTGTATAAAAATGAGATTATACGTCAAAACATTAACTACAGCATGTTGTGAATATAGTTTCAGCATAGATTTGTCGTTTGTTACAGAACGTGATCAGCAACGTGACACAATGCTGTATCGAGCAGAACGTGTCGTCATCCTGTCAGGACGCGTATACGTCAAAACATTAACTACAGCATGTTGTGAATATAGTTTCAGCATAGACTTGTCGTTTGTTACAGAACGTGATCAGCAACGTGACACAATGCTGTATCGAGCAGAACGTGTCGTCATCATGTCAGGACGCGTATACGTCAAAACATTAACTACAGCATGTTGTGAATATAGTTTCAGCATAGACTTGTCGTTTGTTACAGAACGTGATCAGCAACGTGACACAATGCTGTATCGAGCAGAACGTGTCGTCATCCTGTCAGGACGCGTATACGTCAAAACATTAACTACATCATGTTGTGAATATAGTTTCAGCATAGACTTGTCGCTTGTTACAGAACGTCATCAGCAACGTGACACAATGCTGTATCGAGCAGAACGTGTCGTCATCATGTCAGGACGCGTATACGTCAAAACATTAACTACATCATGTTGTGAATATAGTTTCAGCATAGACTTGTCGCTTGTTACAGAACGTGATCAGCAACGTGACACAATGCTGTATCGAGCAGAACGTGTCGTCATCCTGTCAGGACGCGTATACGTCAAAACATTAACTACAGCGTGTTGTGAATATAGTTTCAGCATAGACTTGACGTTTGTTACAGAACGTAATCAGCAACGTGACACAATGCTGTATCGAGCAGAACGTGTCGCCATCCTGTCAGGACGCGTATACGTCAACACATTAACTACAGCATGTTGTGAATATAGTTTCAGCATAGACTTGTCGCTTGTTACAGAACGTGATCAGCAACGTGACACAATGCTGTATCGAGCAGAACTTGTCGTCATCCTGTCAGGACGCGTATACGTTAAAACATTAACTACATCATGTTGTGAATATAGTTTCAGCATAGACTTGTCGCTTGTTACAGAACGTGATCAGCAACGTGACACAATGCTGTATCGAGCAGAACGTGTCGTCATCATGTCAGGACGCGTATACGTCAAAACATTAACTACAGCATGTTGTGAATATAGTTTCAGCATAGACTTGTCGCTTGTTACAGAACGTGATCAGCAACGTGACACAATGATGTATCGAGCAGAACGTGTCGTCATCCTGTCAGGACGCGTATACGTCAAAACATTAACTACAGCATGTTGTGAATATAGTTTCAGCATAGACTTGTCGTTTGTTACAGAACGTGATCAGCAACGTGACACAATGCTGTATCGAGCAAAACGTGTCGTCATCATGTCAGGACGCTTGCTCGTTCTATCTTGATATCGACGCGATCATCGACAAACCAGAGTGTATCAACGAGTTTTACAAGCTTATGAAGTGTGCCGCAGGTAAGTGTATCAACGAGTTTTACAAGCTTATGAAGTGTGCCGCAGGTAAGTGTATCAACGAGTTTTACAAGCTTATGAAGTGTGCCGCAGGTAAGTGGTTCAACGAGTTTTACAAGCTTATGAAGTGTGCCGCAGGTAAGTGTATCAACGAGTTTTACAAGCTTATGAAGTGTGCCGCAGGTAAGTGTATTAACGAGTTTTACAAGCTTATGAAGTGTGCCGCAGGTAAGTGTATCAACGAGTTTTACAAGCTTATGAAGTGCGCCGCAGGTAAGTGTATCAACGAGTTTTACAAGCTTATGAAGTGTGCGGCAGGTAAGTGTATCAACGAGTTTTACAAGCTTATGAAGTGTGCCGCAGGTAAGTGTATCAACGAGTTTTACAAGCTTATGAAGTGTGCCGCAGGTAAGTGTATCAACGAGTTTTACAAGCTTATGAAGTGCGCCGCAGGTAAGTGTATCAACGAGTTTTACAAGCTTATGAAGTGTGCCGCAGGTAAGTGTTTCGTACTCGACTTGAATTACGGATGATAATGGTAACCATTATAATAATTGTACTTTCATCATGGAATTGTTTTATTCGTAAAAAATACATTTATATACATGCCTGGAAATTGGGTTTGAAATTATGCATTGCTTATGACGTACGTTAAAAAGAAGATTTATTGGAAACCCCTAGTTTTACTACTGTCGTATTACAAAATATTATATTCAGAGAGCTTGAACAAAAACTTGGAACAGAACACATATTTCATGCAGGAGCATTTAGTAAAGTTCAGCAAATTTAAAATGTGTACATAAAACCGTGAATCTATTCTTCTAAATCTAAAAGAGAATTTATTCTCTATTGTTTTGTTTTTAGTACGACTCAAATGCATTCAAAAATAAAAGTGCACATTAAAACCTACTGTTGTACAATATTATGGAATTATAAAAAATCTCCTGAAAGCCCATTATTTTATGGTTATACTGAAATTAAATAACTTCTTGATCCACATTGTACGTGTTATTAATGTTATTGACGTTGTCATTCGCCTTTTGGGTCTAATGATGATTGGAGCGTCCAATTGAAATCCATCACCACTTACCATCTTTTATGTATATTTACCGTCTTGTGTAACAGCATAAGCGTAAATATATGTTTTAAGTGTTATAAGACGTTTCTTTTATTTACTTTCCGTATACTGTAATTGAAAACATATATTAGGCCTAATAGAAATAATTGTAAAATAATTCTGATGAACGCATAATTATTTGAATAATATACACTACCAGTAGTAAACAACTCAAAATTGATATGTGTAAAAATATATTGGCACAGAATATTCCACCTTGGATTTAGTGTATATATTGATCCATCCAAAATTGAAAGGAGAACTAGATCTTCAGGGAAGATTTCTTACTCATAAAATCTATAGGGATAGTAAACTTGATAATATAAGAAAAATATTAATATACAGTAGTAAATATAGTTATTTTACTTCGAATTTTGTCGTACTGTACAATGTTAGAAGATATCCTACATTGTACTATCATGCCGTTGTCAAAGAACCAGTAAACAACCATGTCAATATTACGTTTTTATCCTATAACATCTATATTATAAAGCTTTCTATATTTTCAGACGGCTCAGACCATCGTAGTTGCTGCGCTCACAACGGTGTAGAGAGGGGCTGTCTAGACTGGTGTAGAGGGGAGCCACTCTACAGCCAGGACAGCAAAGTCTGCCTTCTATCACACACTAAGAGGATCATGTCCTGCTTCCGCGAGGGACGAGGTAAGATAAAAAAGTATATTCCTATACAAACACAATAATATTTAAGCGTCTAAAACAGGAGTACAAGCATCAAAATCAAAAGAATGGAACAACTTAATGTGTTTTCATATTTTCTTTTACTTTATTTAAATTTGATGGATTTTGCCGTTAAGAAAAACCAATATTTAAATAAATAAAGTATTTATAGTATAACCTGGAAACTTTTTTTCTTCGTCCAATGAACCTATTAAAACATGCATGCATTTGTCTACCTACCTAACCTAACCTAACCTAACCTAACCTAACATAACCTAACCCAACCTAACCTAACCAAACCTAACCTAACCTAACCTAACCAAACCTAACCTAACCTAACCTAACCTAACCAAACCTAACCTAACCTAACCTAACCTAACATAACCTAATCTAACCTAACCTAACCTAACCTATTAAATCATGCATGCATTTGTCTGTGTCTAAGGAATGCCTTAATCGTTTTTAAAGCTGGAGAGAGTAATATCGTGTTTTTACATTAAATACAAATTATATATTTTCCTTTATATGAGAAACGGTCTGGGATTTGAATGCATATAAATATTTTTGGACTGTTAAATTTACTTGTTACGTAGCTCAGTAAAAACTAATTTTCCAGATCGGTTGCCCGGACCACCACTTAATGTAAGGGTGGAAAAGATTGACTCTCATTCTGTCATGGTTAGATGGGATCCTCCTACAAAGAATCCACAAACTGTTGATATGTACAGGTAAGGTACATTTTATTAAAAATATGAAAGTCCAGTAGTATATTTTTGGATTCGTTCATTTTATAATTTAATTCACATGCGTAAGTCTTTGAAGACATATAACTAATTTGATTTTTGAATGTCTATTGGGATTTTTGACTTGATAAGTATTTTAATCTTATCTAATATCAGTACTGGTCTTTTAATCACCAAATTCATGGTCTTATATTGTTTAATTAGTGCAGGATAGGTTTCCGCTACGTTTAAAATTATAATTACGATTGTTTTGAATATATTTTATTTTATTTGATCAACTTCACTCTTAATTGGTTTATAAAAAAAAACGTCAGTGTTACCTACTAAACCCGCGTTGGGTCTCAACGTCGCATTCTAAAAACTAATTAGCTAAAATGTATCTCAATAATGCGAGTGTAAAATTAAAACATGCCTCATTGGGAATAAATTTTAATTTAAAAGCTTGAAAATATCTACAAAATATCTTGAAAATACCAAACTTGACAGTCGGTCTCTAAACACATCCAACAATAATAGAACTGTTAATTAGGAATTATAATCAAATAACTTATACATACTATATTCTGTAAATTTACATAGTCCATCCATGGTTTATGTAGTTACTAGCTGTACCCGCAGGCTTTGCCCCGTTTAACTTCATAAGTATTCGCATGGCTCATTCACGTCCTGGTTGAAGTTCGTTCGCTACGCTCACTCACCTTTAGGTTGGAGCTCGTTCGCTGCGCTCACTTGCCTTCAGGTTAGCTCGTTCGCTACGCTAACTCGACTCCAGGTTGAAGTTCGTTCGCTACGCTCACTCACCTTTTGGTTGGAAAAATTAGCTGTTGTCATAAATTAAAAAAAAAATAATATTGCTGCACCCTGTTGGTAATCCTTGTAACTTTTATGCTATTGAACATCATAGAACAGAACCAACTTGTTTAATTGAAACAGCTGTTAAGATTCATTAATTCCTTTTAAATATGAAGATCCATAAGGTTAACATGGGGAACTACAGAGCCACTGGGGCGGAGCCCGAAAGGATTTTTGGGATAATAATATGCTTTAATGTTAATCGAAAATGTGAGCTATCATCATGCCAAATTTCAGCCCAATCCGTCCAGTAGTTTATGCGTGATTGAGCAACAAACACACACACAAACTCACAAACTTTCAGATTTATAATATTAGTATGATTAATATGATTAATTGATTATCAAAGATCCAGTCAAATCTTTTTAACATATTGAACTCATAACAATTATATTTTTGCAGAGTTTTCTGGAGGCAGTATGGCGTCAGAATCCCACCACAGAAGAATGACAGTAGAGTGACAAGCATGAAGATCTCCGGACTAAAGGAGGGAGTGACGTACGAGTGTGTAGTAAAGGCGGGAAACACACGTGGCACGAGTGTGCTGACTGAACCCGTCAAGTTTATAATGGACGACAAATACACAGTCATATTGCCGACCACGACTAGTAAGTGGTCATTTCTACCGTAAAATGTATAAAACCTTAGCATGAATGTGTTAGTAATTTGTAACATAACCTTAATAAAAGTAAACTTTAAGGTCGATTCACACATATCAGTTACGGCACGTCACAGTAAAGTCACTTCAGGCACGTCACAGTTAAAAAAAATATTCTTTGATGGATTTTCTATTGCGCTATCTACACTCATCCGTTGCAGTCCCGTCAGTCTCTCTGCCGGAATCCGTCAGTCAATTCCAGATTTCTTTTCACCGATATTTTTTAATTGTTCGGACGCCTGACGAAACTGTTTGAGGTTAGAAAATAGTGCTATTGTTATTTAAATGGTTACGTTTGTATTTTGAGTACTGTTTGTAACAATCAACAAGATGGACAGTGATAATTTAATAGAATATCCTACTAATATTATAAATGAGAAAGTTTGGATGTATGGATGTATGTTTGTGACAAGTGAACGCGAAAAATACTGGACGGATTGGGCTGAAATTTGGCATGATGATAGCTCACATTCCCGATTAACATATAGGCATATTCTTATTTCAAAAATCCTTTCGGGCTCCGCCCCAGTGGCTCTGGAGTTTCCCATGTTAACCTTATGAGAAATGGAATTATTTAATCTTAACAGCTGTTTCAATTAAACAAGTTGGTTCTGTTCTATGATGTTCAATAGCATTAAAGTTACAAGGATTACCAAATCGGTGCAGCACTATTATTTCTTTTACATTTATGAAAACAGCTAATTCGCAACCAAAAGGTGAGTGAGCGTAGCGAACGAACTTCAACCTGGACGGGGAGTTAGCATAGCGAACGAGATAACCTGAAGGCAAGTGAGCGCAGCGAACGAGCTCCAACCTAAAGGTGAGTGAGCGTAGCGAACAAACTTCAACCAGGACGTGATTGAGCCATAAAACGAGATAATCTTGAAAATTAAGAAGTTAAACGGGGCAAAGCCCGCGGGTTACAGCTAGTAGGTATATAATTTAAGTTTTTTGACTGTAAATATTAGAGACGGAAGACTGACTGAAACCAACTGACGGACAATTGACTGAGAAATTGAGGATGCAACTGTGACTTGACTGTAACTGGACTGCAACTGGACTGTACGGAACTGTGACTGGACTTATGTGTGTGAATCGACCTTAAACCTCAATATAATCATCACTAGAAAATTTAATAATGGCTATTATCCTTTATTAAATTTTATAAAAATTCAATAATTTGCAAGTTAAAATTGTTTTGTTGCAAATTTTGTTGAATGGTTGGTGAAAATAACTTAAATTTCAACTTATAGTATGATGGAATAATTTCCATTTTTTTATTCGATTAGGAACTCTTGAAGAGGCTTTAACTTGTCTATTGGTTGCATTATTTTAAGAACGAATTTAGTGTTACCCAATTTAAAAATGAAAACTTACAAAGCTAATGATAAATTTTGTTCGGCTAACGAAACATAAACATTGACATAAAGAAAACCAAAATCGGCTCACTAATAACAAAATTGCGCCCTAAAACGTTTCAAATCCAAATAACCATGAGGGTGGCAAAAAAATTAATTTGCGCACTCTTTAACTTTTTAACTATTTGAGATATTTGAAATCGGTTTGCTGCAACTTGTTTGGATCTGAAGGGCTACAATAATCATGGTCAGTTTTGAAAATTTTTCCCTTAGGGGTAGCGGGGGTAGGGGGTTTCTTAAAATTTTCAAATAGCAAGTATAGTCGAGTTTGGTATTATTTTGCATGTCTTCTACATCATTTTTGGATGTATTGTAGCCCTTCATTTTCAAACAAGTTGCCGCAAACCGATTTCAGATATCTCAAATAGTTAAAAAGTTAAAGAGGGTGCAAGTTAATTTTTTTGCCACCCTCATGGTTATTTGGATTTGAAACGTTTTAGGGCGCCATTTTGTTATTAGTGAGCCGATTTTGGTTTTCTTTATGTCAATGTTTATGGTTCGTCAAGACCTGTAAAATTATACCAAACTCGACTATACTTGTCGTTTGAAAATTTTGAGCTACTCCCTACCCCCGCTACCCCTAAGGGCAAAATTTTCATAATTGACCATAATTATTGTAGCCCCTCATATCTAAGAAGGTTGCCGGAAATCGGTTTCAAGTATCTCAAATGGTTGAAAAATTAAGGGGGGTGCAAGTTACTTTTCAGCCACCCTGTATATAAACTACAGCTGTTTCTTGCTAAAAAAAAGCACGTCTTTGAGTCAGAATGAAATTTACTTTTGTGATTCAATACTTACATCAACCCTACCATGAGTGAGTTATGAATAGTTTATATTTTAGCCAGAATACAGCAGTAATTGATATATACTACAACGAATTGTTTTCACAGCAACAAAGGCATAATCCGTAATTAAATAGTTCTTACGATTCATTGGCCAATTTTCACTACATCTGAGGTTAAAGAGGAGTTGAGCTCAAAATATAACTGTACCAGATGAGTGTACACATTATGAATGTTATTCTAAAGGAGTTAACTCTCTTTACTTGTTCGCTACCTCCAGGTGACCACGGCCAAGGTCTGATGATCGTGGGTGTGGTGCTGGCCCTCGCTGTGGTGGGAGCTATGGTGATGACTGCAGTATGGCTAGTCAGGACCAAGGCACTCCTGGGCCGCAAGTCAACAGGAGCGGTCGCATTTGAGAACCCCAGCTACCTGCGGGAGGTCAACATGGACCATATACAGGTGAGAATACGAGGGTTCTCTTCCCGCTCAAAATTTGAGCAAGGGTAAATGGTATTTTAAGTCAAATATTGGGCTGCACCTTACTTGACGTCCTACACTCATTCGAATGAAAATATCGATCGATATATTGATTAATCGATTGCTTCATTCGATATATCGTTTGGTTAGTTAGGTAAGGTTAACCTAGCCTAACTAACCAAACGATATATCGAATGAAAGAATCGAATGAAAATATCGAATCTAAAAAACCAATCGAATGAGTGTAGGACGTCAAGTAAAGTGCAGCCAAATATTGTTAGATAATGTCTTTTCTTGAAGCCTGCTAATTAATCTTAACAAAGTGACTGTTAAACTACAACTTTAAAGTTATAGATTTGTTTGATAATATTGTTGTAAACTCATTTGTTGTATCGTAAGTTCTACGTAACCTTCAGGGCAGAGAATGACGTGGCTTTGAAGATACATACCATCATTGCTGTCAGTGGATAAGGATGGTATATTACACGACACGCTAGTACACACTGTTTTCGTGATATGAGGAAGACTTGTCATTATAATGTCTATCGTTGTGTTTTTTTTATTCGATGAAGACCAATTATTGGCCATTAGGTTACCTTTTTATAAATGTTGTAAGCAAATGGGTAACCTAAAATAGTCTAATACAAAACCCAAATTTTGTCTTTGAAAACCTAAAAAAAACCATGGCGATAAAATGAATTATAAAACAACAAAAATAATGCAAATCAAATACCTCTTTAGGCATTTTTTATAAGGAACTCTTTGTTTAATATAGTAGTTAGATCGTTCACTGGCAATGCATCTTAGTGCTGTGAATACTAGTTACGGTTTGTGGCGGTCACGCTTATAGTCAAATAGTTCTACATGAAATGCCATATTTACCCCAAACAATTGTTACAGATAAGTCACTCAGATGTGGCACCAGTTTCTAACGGAATCTCCAGTTCTGGCCCTCACACAGGGTGGAAGCACGAACCCCTACACGTCCCGGCCCAGACCGAGGTACCTCCCACGTTATACGAAGAGCTAAAGCTGGGACAGGACGGTGCGGGCTTTAAGAGGCTCAAACCTTAGTGAGAGAAAACTCAAGTGTACTTGTACAGTGACCGTGATACCGAGTACTCGATAGATGAACTCGACCTGTGATATTCGATGGTCAGTGAGCGATATCGATGTCTCGATAGTGTGATACGTGGTGCCCCAATCCGATAGATGCCATAGAGATAGTGTAGAAAAGAAACAGGTTGTAATTCTTATGTAAGGATTAGTTTTGTTGATGTTTCATTTCCAAATATGGCGTTTATCTTAAAAGTTTTGAAAAACTATTGCTCTACGAAAGACTATTAAGAGTACGAAAAAAGCCGAAATCTTTTACAGGTTGGATCTATGTTTCCTTTAAATTTGATTAATTAGATTTTTTTCAAACCAACAACTTTCTTTCTACACTGTTTTTAGTTTTTTAGAACATTTTGTTTATAGGAAAAATTATAATAACATACCTAAAACAGTGTAATTGTGTTTACTTATATTTCAAAATCAACAGGGAAATTATATATTAAATCATTAATTTTACTTATTAACACAATGAAATTTTAAAATTCCATAAAATTATTTCAATGGGTTAAACGTGTAATTGTTTAACTCACTTAACAATGGTTTAGTTCTTATTATCTTTTGAGACTTTACTAGAGTGATGCACGAAATGAAGAAGACAAGTTTTAAATATGGTATATTGTTGAAATACTGTGTTTGATACAAATAAAAAAAAACCCATTCAGACGCCGTGTGCCTTGAAGAATTAAGATAAGACGAGTTATAGTTGTTAATCGTTCACTCTTTGGTTTGGCATGGTAAACTTTTACATGTATATACAATAGACGATGTAAACCGGTTGTTCAGTCTGTTCATTCTTCGTTTAGTTAACCGTACTTTATTTTGTACAACAGTTAATTAGAGTGATTAATCACATAGCGGAAACTTAATTTCTTAATTTAATTTAAATTCTTCTTTGGTCAATATATAAAGCTAATTTATGAGCCAGTTTAGTAACATCAGTAGACTTTAATTAGTAAAACGTTTCTTTTTTAGTGCCTGTGACATCCCAAAGCTAGATTTATGTTTTCCAATGTCACCGACACTATAGGTTATTTCCCCAGACCAATACCTGTATGGATGTTTGAACAGTGAGTCTTGTGCGATCGCACCAAGGTGTCTAGTCCATGTTAGAGATCGTAGTCGTTGTGGTTATTATTGTTATGTTGAATTGTACAGCATGGTTTGTCCTAGACTTTCGCACCTTTGTTTTGTACGAATAAACATTTGTACTAGATGACTAAGTTGTGTTTTATTTATGTAAGGAGATAAATAATTTTTTACAATGTTAAATAAGTCTGCACATTTGTAAAGAGTTAGATATGTACAAAATAGATGGAATATCCAGTAAATGAGTTTTATTTCTACTCTGACCTTAAGTGTTTGGATGTTTGAGTTGATGTAGTAAAATATTAAGTTAAGAGCGATGTTAGAACTGGAAAATGAACAATCTGGAAGGCTAAAGAATTGTTACAACTCTTTTAGTGTAGCATTTTATGTACAGTACGAAAATTGACATTCTATTAACTGCCTTACTTAAATATTCTCTCAGTTGTTAACATTCAAATACAAATGCTTCATTGCTATCAGGATTATTTAGAATGTTTTAAATACGTAAAGGAATTTTGCAAGAGGCAGTGTCTTAATTTTAGTCATGTAATTGCAACCAAAAAAGATAAAAAAATTATCATAAAAAGAGACTTATTTACTCTTACACTGTAAAAGCTGCAATCGTTTGGCATTGCTATTTACATTGAGATAAACAGATCAAATCCCTGGTGTAGTTGAACGGTCAAGGACTAGCAAATATCAAGAGAATCTTTAAACGTGTCCCGCAATAAAAAAAATAGTATATTTCATTACTAGGACCGAAAGTGGCATTTTCCGGCGCGCGCTCAAGTTTTTGTGTGAGGCGAAGGCGAACACAGGGAACCCCAATTTCACGTGCGAGGCGAAGCCGAGTATGCGAGAGTTATTTTCACGTACGAGGCGAAGCCGAGGGCGGGAATAATGGAGCAAGTGCCGGATAATAACTTTCGGTACGAGTTATGAACGATACTTTTCATTAGGACGCAAAAATACACAAACACAGAATAGCAGACCTCAGTAATATTGCAACTGTTTTATTTCTCAATGAATTAAATTGAACATCAAAATAAAATAAAATCTTTTAAAAGAAACCCTAGGTTTTTTTATTAATTTTTAAAACAAAAATAAGAGAAAATATGTTAAAGGTAGCCTACGTTTATTTATCAATAAATTTTGTTTAAACATCAAAATAAAAGAATAAAACAACTTTCAACCATACACACAGCTGATTCAAATCATTAAATTAAGCCGTAACAAAATACTAGCGCGCGTAGTGAATAAATGGAGAACTAATTGAGAGCGAGGGAAAGTAAATTTAGAGCGAGGGAAAATCAGCTGATCGATTTTCCCTCGCCCTAAATTAGAGCTTGGGAAACGACTACTTTCATTGATGTCAGCTGTTATCGAAAATAGTTACTTTCGTTACGGAGTGATGAAAAAATTTATGTCAATATTATTGGCTTAAAAAATACACTAAAAGTATGTATTGACCAGTTCTGAAACAGTCAAAATTATTAATACTAATCAACCATTGTTAAAGAAATTTCCAAACGCAGACGAAGTAAGGTTTCGTTATACTCCTATAACTTTTAATCTATACTCGTAGCTGCGATCAACGACTAAATACTTATAACAAACTTCTCCTGGTCACTATAGTTTTCTGCTCACGTAGTAGCAACTGATTAATAGCTTTCTGTGATGCCCTCCTCCGGAATTTCAATGGATGGTAAGTTTCTTTTTCAGGTAACCTAAGTATTCTTGAAATTTATTTTAATGTTTATGTTTCATTATGACTAATAAATTGATTAAAATATTTTTTAGATTGTATATATAATATTAGATTTTAGCAAAAAAGATAATGTGGGAAACCCTTCCAAAACCTTATAGTGTTAAATATTTAGGTGTTCTAATGATAATTTTAGGCATTTCTATATCAACATTTACACCCCACTAATTTTAAATCTGTTAGATGCATGGATTTCTTGCTGAAGCACCGATAAATATATCAATAATAAGTGGAAGAAGAAGCAATATTTGAATCTTCATCTCCACTTATTCAGCAAAACATCAAAGCACTCAGAGTAATTGGGAGGTCAAGGGCTAACAAGCTGTCTACCAAGGATCTTAAGGCTGAATACATCAACTCAGCTTTACGTGCATCTTCTCTCAACTTACTATCTCGAGTTTATACAGGGTGATTGATATAAGTGTGCCAGCCGTTTTATTCGAAAACCATAAGAGATATAAAAAGAAGTTAAATGGTAAGTGCCTTGGATTTTTTATTTAAAAAAATTGTAGTAAAGTTGAAAACATTATTTTAGCCGCCATTTTTCCAATATGGCCGCCAACTTGGATTTTTCTTATGGAACACCCTGTATTTTATGATGTATTCCGGTAGAAACTCTTTCTCATGCAGAAATTTCAAAACTTTAACCATTATTATCTTTGAAACGGTTAGGTTTATGGAAAAAATCACAAGTATACAATCGTCTTAAAATTACATTGTCTACCGGAATACATCATAAAATACATGGTGTTCTATAAGAAAAATCAAAGTTGGTGGCCATATTGGAAAAATGGCGGCTAAAATAATTGTTTCGACTTGACTAAAATTTTTTTAATAAAAAATCCAAGGCACTTGCCATTTAACTTTTTTTGATATCTCTTATAGTTTTTTAATAAAACGGCTGGCACACTTATATCAATCACCCTGTATTGTTTAGTAAAAACGTGTGTAAGGTAAGTTTACATACTATAGATCGATGATAAAATATGTTCATATAAAAAAAATCATTTTGAAGTTGGGTTCTGAAATGCCCTTATTATTATTTGGAGTAATAAAAGGTTTATTGTGTTTAAAAGCCCTTCTTCTCGATTTTTTTTTTTTAGTTTTAAGTAGTAGATTATCACAATACAGAAGTCCGATGCTTATATCTGACTATTGTGTGCCAGTAATACATAGACTACATTTTACACAAAAGTTACCAATTTACTAAAAAATCTTACCAATTTACTCGTAGTTTAGAGTTTCTCATTGTAACAAAACCTAGGTAGAGCTAGTGTTGGAAACACAAATGTTTTTTCTCAATTTTATATTGTTTTACAATCAGCTTTTTTGGGAATAACCTAAATAAAATAGCTAAATTAAACACCTAAAAACTAAGGTTACAGGTCACCTAAAATCAAGGTGTTTTATAGATTCCATAGATTTTTATGATGCAAACACAAAGGATGAAACAAGATTTATGATTAGATTAAAAAATATATTACCTGGTTTTCACACAATTTATATTCTGACATTTATTTCTTTACTTCTAAAGAATTCAATACAAAATGGCGTTTTAAAAAGTGCCAATTCATTTAAAAGTTCAGTTTTGAAAGGTTTTTACATGCTTATTCAGAATATTTTGTGAGCTGAAGAGTCCTTGAAAACTGATTTTTCAATATCAAGAATCAGTTTCCAGTCTCTTGGCTAACTCATGGATCAATGGACTTCTGTTTGTTTGTTGCCCTCTTTTCGTCCAATTTTCCTTGAGTGGTACACTTAAAAAACATTTCAGGCATTACAGTCAATTAAATAACCTACGCTGAGCAGTAATTTTAAATGTTTTAATATTTTTGCCTAATGGTTTTGATAAAAATGTTAGGTTGTTATTTTACGAATTATTAGTTATAATGGTAATTCAACTAGTCGTTATTAATATCACTAATGGTTTAGAACATTGAAATATTTTGATGATTTTCAATACTAAATACTAACTTTACTTAAGATTCATCTAAAAGAATATCATTAAATATGTTTAACAAATTAATTTGTGTTGGTAAACTGTAAACTTATATTTAGATTATTAAATAATTGAACCTAGCTTCTTTTAGTAAATTTATTTCTTTTGACTTCATATCCTACGCATAGGTATCATTTTATTGATAATTCTCTAGAAAATAGAAAACACAGATATTGGTTTTTTAATAACAAAATCAATTGCAATGAAACCCCTAAACAATGCAAAACCTATAAGAAAAATCCTCGACAATTTTACAACAACACAGTTAGTATAAAGTAATATATTGTTGTGTAATTATACAGCCCTTAATAAGGCAGCAGTAGTAAGCAAGGTATGCGGCAATGGTATGTAATAACCCTGACTGCAGGTAGGTTCTAAGAATGTCAGCATTGTTCCTATAGGCTCTGCAAAGTATGTATTTAATTAATTTGTACACAGAATAATGAATTTTAAGTCACCTGAAGTTTTTATTATTATTTACTTTATTTTTTTCATTTGATAAAACATTATTTGGAATGATTAAATCTTTTACTATAGTTAGACCAATATGGTAAAAGAAATGTAGAGGCTAGAGAGGGTTTAGGCTCTCTTAATAAAAAAAATGTTATTCCTACTTAGATCAGGAAAATAGTCAACCCTTTTATTGTGTCCTTTAAAAAAATAATACCAAACTGAAATAAATAGTGCCCATCCGTAGTCTATTTTCATTTTAAAAAGGTATGGTATTGTCGTTCAATGTCACCCAGATACTTATCGATTGTTTACAGTTAGTAAAGTATCAGTGTTATGTTTGTTAAGAAATTGGTGTATTTAAAAGTAATCAATACATTTCCGGCACTCTTTGTCGTTGATTAATGTGTTTGGTAAAAAATTAAACTACGTAATTTTTTCTTCTATAACTGGTTACAGCCTCAACTTGTAATTTGATAGTCTGAATCTCTCAGAATTCAAAGGTTGTATTAGGTATATATAGTTATTCTGTATATAGTTAATTTCAAGCTTTTATCTTAACTGTATGGATTGGATAACACTAATCTTTAAATCTTCCTTGCCTTTCATTCGCAAATGTTTTGTGAGTTCTCAAAGCACTCGGAGTAATTGGTAGTCAAAGGCTAACAAGCTGTGGACAAAGTCTCTGAGAGACGCATCATCAAAATGGTGCCTGTTTGAGATCCATCAAGCCATAGTTAACATTTACCACTTAATTTGCTATTGTAACCTAAATAACCGTAGGGATATAGTAAATAAATAATAATAAATATTTATGAATATTTTAAATCAAATCTTCTCTTTTCACACAACAAACTACTGTTTCATAGATGTATATGTAAATTAATTCCACTCTAATGGGATCAATACTATGCATTGTTAGTTTTTATTTCTGCATTTGTTTTACTATACTTAAACAATCCACCCAGACTATTTGGTCATAAATATTTTTGGTGATATTTAAAATTGGTAACTTACTTATTAAATAA